TACCACATTTTTTCTTTGATCAATTTCGGGAGGCTGCTGGTTTTGCTTTTGTATTCTTTTAATAAGTGCCTCAATCTCTTTTCTGTGGTATCCCTGTCTTTTGTATGTAATCTAATTCCTCATATGTATCATATAAACTTGTGCAGTGGGCGTACGCTCTTTTAATCCACACTCTAAATGCAGCATATTTAACGTGCTTAGTGTCTGTCGAATTCTTTGGGATGATAATAGGTTGATAAACCGGTTTGTGATATATGCCTGTCCATATTTCCCCTTCCTTACAAGTAATCGATATATCCAGGAAATTAACATTCTTCTTGCTTTCTTGGTCCAAATCCAAAGTCAACCCATATGGGTTATCGTTGATCTTGTCCATAAAATTCTGTGTGTTGTCATCATTTCTCCACAAGATGAAAATGTCATCAACATATCTGGAGTATATTACTATATCGTTTCTAAAGATTGGTATGATACTTCTTTCAGTCGAAAACGTTATTAGAGAATTAAATGTTTTTGCTGGACTGTTAAAAAGGCATTGTTTACTTATATTATATTATTAAGTATTTATTAATGAATTTTACTTTTTAAATTAAAGTGTTTGTTTTTTAATTTTCTTAATCTATTTTTCTAATACAGTCGACCCCCCTATAAGATATAGATACGTTCCATTCTTTAGGAATCCGATTTCTTATGAGTCGTTCCAATCACAGCCCGACACGTGTCAAGTTTACGGACTACGGCTGATTGAAAGGTTTTCTTCCATAAAATTAATCGATTCTAGACTAATCCGACTCGACATTTCCAAAATACGTATATTTTTTTTGGAAATAATCCATATAAACTACACTATAAATAAAAAATTGTAGGATTACTTACCGAGTGTCACCATTCGACATCGCCATTGCTCAACATTGTTTTCGTCGCGGAACAGCTCAGCAAACCGCGGCCGATTTCTAATAACTTATTTTTCTGCGAATAGTTCCTTGAACTTCGGAGACATCATTAATATAAATAATTTTAATCGCCGTTGAATAAGAAATGTTTCTTTCACAAGAAATGTATAAAATTACAGTACTGTATTAGACTTACGGTACCTAATTTACATACTGACAGACGATAGTTAGCGTAAAAATCTCCGTAGCGTGGCGCCACGCTAGACGGCGGAAATTATATATTTAATTATAACAAAGTTACAATAAGTTAATATATAATTATATATACAGTACCTAATTTATATATAATTAATATATAATTATATGTACAGTACCTAATTTATATATAATTTATATAATACTGTCCAGACGATAGAAATCTCTCCGTAGCGTGGCGCTACGGACGGCGGGAAAGTAGTTCGGCTGCCCGATGACGTTTGAGATAATTATAGGGAATTTTTACTGTTTTTTACGGATACCGGTCACAATTTTTTCGTAGTTTTATAGGGACCGTAATTATAGAGGGGTCGACTGTACATCATTTGTTAGAAATCAATATCATTTGAATTTTTCATTGATTTCATAAATAATGATTATGAAGATTAATGAACAAATTAAAGAACGTAAAATAAATTTGAAAATATATGTTAATATTAGATTTTCTGAAATTAATATTTTGAATTATTAATGCATGTATATACATAATCTGTTTTAAAAAAAATTTTTACAATAATGAAAAAAGGTTCAGTTAATGTTAAAATTGTTTTGGAAAATAAGAAAATAGATCTGTTCATTAGTTTATGATTTAATTATTATTAGAGTTACTCATTTATAAAGACGTATCTTCATTTTGGGAGTAAAAATGACTAACTACATATTTTTATGAATTTCCTGTTTTATCTGCCTTTCTAGTGGAAAAATGTTTTTTCTTGAATCTGGTTTTCTTTCCATGTAAAAATGGAAGATTTTCTTTATTGGTTACAATGTAGAATTAAGCTTATAATTTAGAAATGGACTACTTGAACAATTAAATCAACTATTGAGTAGCATTTTGACTTCCAATATTATACTGTATATTTAGCATTGTTTTAATTTTCCATATCCAGTTTTGATTTTAGTTTTGTTTCTGATCTTCATTAGCATTATATGATAATATATGGACAACATATAATGTTAGCCTTTATTGTGTGTCTTTGTACAATTCTCAACTGAAGATTAGTTTCAGAACATGAAAACCTTTTTTAACTTCTGCAAAAACATTTAATTACAAAAATTTTCAATCTGTTTAATGCCATTGTCAGGTAACATATTCAAAATAGAATTCTGATTTCAATTTCAAATATATGTATAAAATATTCAAAAATGAACTAATAATGAAAAAAAANTATATATAGTTATAAAAATCTAAAAACACACCAGTACATCAAATTCACACCAATACATCAAATGTTTTTGTACAGTACATATCAATTGGACAGCTTCAGGTTACATAAGCACATTAAAGACTAGAATATCAAATCAAATATAGAATTAAAATTCTCAAAAACTGAATATAGAATTTGAATTCTATATTTGATTTGGTATTCTGCTGTTTAATAGGCTTATGTAACCTGAAGATCTTCAATTCAATATGGATGAAAACATTTGTTACATTAAATATTTTTGTTGTTTATTTGTTTAACTGGTTTGGTATACTGGTCTGTTAATTTAACCCTTTCTAGATCACGTGACTTTCCAACCATACTTTGGTCATATGGTGTTTCAATGACTCCATTTTTTTTTATAAAATTGTAAAATTATTATCTTCGTTTCAAAACTTATTATTACTGTACATCTTTGTTTTCTTTATTTTCTTTATTTTTAAACAATATAAAATATTTTTATATTGACAGAAATGCTTTATTTACATCAAATTTAATGTAATTTGATACGAAAAATGCAAAAAATAAACATATCAAATTTCAACTCGCTGTAATTTATCTCCTGTTTTACTGATTGCCATCTGGTTTGTTTGTAAATGACAAAGAAATATGACACTTTGAAGTGAAGTCAGTAGAAATTTCGCACTACTGTGAGAAAATTTGTCAACAGACCTGGTGTTACCCCTACTGCGAAAATCAATTGTTTTATGACTCTTCTTCAAATGCTTCTTTCTGAGTTGTAAATTGATCAATGGGAATTTGAGTATAACATCATAATACAGTAGCTCTTAGAAAAATTCAAACTGGTATTAAAAAATCATTAAGATTCCTGCAAACAAACCAAAATCACAGATTTTCATAATAATAATGAGCATTAAACATGTTCAAATAATTGTCTGCCTTAGAAATGTATAATACTGTATGTTGTATTTTGTAAATAAATAATTATACCTGTAGTTTGGATTATCCGTGTTTTTCGATTATCCGTGCCACCTCTCCCTACCATTAGCCTGGATAATCGGGAGTTTACTGTATAAACATCTCAAAGCCCGATAATTATAATTATTAAATTTAATAAGAGATGGCACCTAACTTGCCTCTAGTGCCAAATTACTCAATATTTAATTATTAATAGTAGCAGTAATGTAGCTCAATTTAATCCTGTAATTGTTTGGCTTTAATGGCAAATAGAATATATTCAGTAATGTGTTTCAACATTTTTTCATATTTAGGTTGTTTTCTTAATAAATTTATTAAGAAAATACATACTAATTAATTGAATTAATGAAATTAAATTTGAATAAAACAATTTAATAAAGTTTATATGAATTTATTTTCATTAAATATTATGTCTATTAAATCTATTTAAAATTATTAAGTAAATTATTTTTTGATTTCTTTAATAATGTATATTTTTGTAGAAATTTCAGTATTGCGAATGAAAGTGGATGAATTAGAAAGAGAACTGACTAAATCTCAAAAGGTTTGTTTGTTAAACTTTCATACATTATAATTTTAATTAGCTTAATAAAAATAATTTTTTTATAATATGTTTTTTTTTAATTATGTATTTGTTCTGTAAATTAAATTTAGGTAATTGAATACTTTAAATAAAGATTGTATTTTCATTTCTCTATAATTTAAATTTTGGAATTTTGACTTTTTGTAATACAATAGAACCCTTATTATCTGAGGTAAGGTAGAACAATTCTACCTCAGATAATCAAAATCTCCATATAAAATTGATAGGCATGGCCATTTCAGATTAAAAATTACAACAAATATAAAAGATTTATATGGTAACATTTTTAAACCTTTTTTTATACCTTAATGCTGGCTTGCCACTTAGTGCAATTTTGAGGTGATTCAATTGCCTTTGACATTGCTCGTGTGCAGGGAATCACCTGGTTAGAATTGTTTCAGAGTGCTAGGACAATGTATATTTTTGCTCGGCAATTTTGTTGCAGCTAATCAACATGCAGCATTCATAATTCCAAGTGTATGTGACATCATATTTTTACCCATCATTGTTAGCACTATACAGTGGTACCTCACGATACGAAATTAATTCGTTCCGAAACTGAGATCGTATCGTGAAAATGTCGTAAGGTGGATCATCTTTTCCCATACGATTACATGTAAAACCAAATAATTCGTTCCAACGCGAAAAACATACTCAAATTAAAGCCAAGTAATACATTAAAAAAATAAATGTAAAAANCCTACCATTAGCCTGGATAATCGGGAGTTTACTGTATAAACATCTCAAAGCCCGATAATTATAATTATTAAATTTAATAAGAGATGGCACCTAACTTGCCTCTAGTGCCAAATTACTCAATATTTAATTATTAATAGTAGCAGTAATGTAGCTCAATTTAATCCTGTAATTGTTTGGCTTTAATGGCAAATAGAATATATTCAGTAATGTGTTTCAACATTTTTTCATATTTAGGTTGTTTTCTTAATAAATTTATTAAGAAAATACATACTAATTAATTGAATTAATGAAATTAAATTTGAATAAAACAATTTAATAAAGTTTATATGAATTTATTTTCATTAAATATTATGTCTATTAAATCTATTTAAAATTATTAAGTAAATTATTTTTTGATTTCTTTAATAATGTATATTTTTGTAGAAATTTCAGTATTGCGAATGAAAGTGGATGAATTAGAAAGAGAACTGACTAAATCTCAAAAGGTTTGTTTGTTAAACTTTCATACATTATAATTTTAATTAGCTTAATAAAAATAATTTTTTTATAATATGTTTTTTTTTAATTATGTATTTGTTCTGTAAATTAAATTTAGGTAATTGAATACTTTAAATAAAGATTGTATTTTCATTTCTCTATAATTTAAATTTTGGAATTTTGACTTTTTGTAATACAATAGAACCCTTATTATCTGAGGTAAGGTAGAACAATTCTACCTCAGATAATCAAAATCTCCATATAAAATTGATAGGCATGGCCATTTCAGATTAAAAATTACAACAAATATAAAAGATTTATATGGTAACATTTTTAAACCTTTTTTTATACCTTAATGCTGGCTTGCCACTTAGTGCAATTTTGAGGTGATTCAATTGCCTTTGACATTGCTCGTGTGCAGGGAATCACCTGGTTAGAATTGTTTCAGAGTGCTAGGACAATGTATATTTTTGCTCGGCAATTTTGTTGCAGATAATCAACATGCAGCATTCATAATTCCAAGTGTATGTGACATCATATTTTTACCCATCATTGTTAGCACTATACAGTGGTACCTCACGATACGAAATTAATTCGTTCCGAAACTGAGATCGTATCGTGAAAATGTCGTAAGGTGGATCATCTTTTCCCATACGATTACATGTAAAACCAAATAATTCGTTCCAACGCGAAAAACATACTCAAATTAAAGCCAAGTAATACATTAAAAAAATAACTGTAAAAATATTTGTAGTAAGAAAAACAAATAAAAATTCGAACTAATGTAACGTTGTATGGTGAGTTTTTGTTCGTATCGTGGAGCAAAAATATGTTCGAATTTCATGTCGTATCCTGAAAATTTCGTATGCTGGGGCGTTTGTAACCTGAGGTACCACTGTATAGTGTGATGTGGAAATTTTGAAATGGTGCAAAAGATAGCAAATATTAGATTTTAAAAAATTAAATACAAAATTAAATTGAAAAATATAAAACTTTATTTTAATTTGAAAGTTTTGCCGTTATTTAAAAAATTCCTGTAATTCATTGGAAATTGCCTTCTGTTTCGTGTAAAGTGTATAGGTACTGTGCATAGGACCACGATTGCGTCAGTCTATTAATTATCAGGTGACAGCAATGCAATTGTGCTAAGTGGAGAGCCATTATGAATTTAATCTATAAAAGGACAACAATTTTTACATCATTTATTATATAGTTAATACTAGTTTTAAGAATAAAAATATGTATTGTTACAGTTTAATATGAATGGTTTGTCTCATATTGAAGTTATATAATAAGTAGTAACAGGAACCAAATTATATTTGAATTCATGTTATTATTATACTTTATTTTATGAACTATGGTATAAAAGTAATGTATTCACTTACAGATTTGCCTTAGATAATGTGGAACGCTGGTTAATTGGGACTTGGATAATTGAGTTTTTACAGTAGTTATATAAATTTAGCACACAATAACTTCATAGATTTGCAAATTTGATTTTTAGCAATGATACTGTAGTTTTAATGTAGTAAAATACAGTAGACCCCCTATAACTCGGGTTCATATACTGCGGATTCATATATCGCAGCAAAAAAATTGCGACTGTATTCATATAAAGACGCTAAAAGAGACTCGTAAAATGCGCTAAAACGTCATCGCTGACTTGTGTCGCGACAGGATTTGTCGAATCTGGACCAATAGTGGATGAGCAGCCGAACTACTTACACGCTACGGAGAGTTTAGGCGGGTAAGTTGAGTTTACTATCGTCTGTACAGTATATAAATTAGGTACTATAAGTCTAATACAGTACTGTAATTTTATATATTTCTTGTGAAAAAAACATTTCTTATTCAACGGCCATAAAAATTATTTCTATTAATGATGTCTCCAAAGTTCAGCAAATTTTTTGCAGAAAAATAACTTATTAGAAAATGCACCCACTGTTTGGTGCACTGATCAGCGATGAAAACAAGCTTAAGCAATGGCATCGTCGAACGGTGCACATTCAGTAAGTAATCCTACAATTATTTGTTTATAGCAGAGTTTATATGGATTATTCCCAAAAATTTATACGTATTTTGGAAATGTTGAGTGAAATTAGTCTAGAATTGATTAATTTTATGGAAGAAAGCCTTTCAAACAGCTGTAGTCCATAAATTGCACACGTGCCAGGCTGTGATTGGCTCATGTATTTAAGGATTCCTACAACACAAAATTCTTACAAAGTGGAACGTATGTACCGCGTTATAGGGGGTCGACTGTACAACAATTTAAAAGTGGATTTGTTTATCATCTGAATTACAAAACTGATTTCCATGTAATTTATAAATTTAATCAAATAAATATTATAAATTTGTTTTTTATATATTTTAAAAAAATATTGTGTATGAAGCCTTTTGAATTTATTTTGCTAAATTAAGCATTTCTACAAAGTTATTTAAATACTATATTTTCTATAAACAAACATAGTACAGTATAACCTCTGAATAGCAGACACTGTTGAGACTGAGAAGTTTGTCTGCTATTTAGAGTTGTTTGTTATTTGAAGGTACATACTGACAGTCTTATTATATTTTAACCTGGTTATTATAAAGTGAAGAATACAATGGATTATGAAAACATCAAATTTTCATTAGGAATGTGAAAATACCCAAAAGTATATGTAAATATATATAGTATATTATTTTATATTATTTATCTTTTCAGCTGTAAAAATCACATTTTAATTGAATTCTAAATAGCAAACAGTTTCTATAGGATATTTTAATTAAATGGAACATAAAAGTTATGACAAAATGTAAATGTTGATTAATTATTAATTCATCAAAAATGACTTGAGTGGAAGTAATGAAAAAAGAAAAATGAACCTGTTGTTATGAACAGAAGGGTATTGGCAATGAAAGTTCGAATGTCAAGTTAAGAAGGCAATTTGCTAGCCACTTTAAGGGGCAAGAAATGTATTCAGTATTCTTGCATTAATAACATCATTTATGATCTGAATGACTAACAAAATCAATATAGTGATTTATTTACTTTGTACTTATCAAGTAGGTGTAATTTTTTAAATATTTTTGCATTTTTCAATAAATAATTTATTAAAAATTACTTTTGTCATCACAAAGTTTTTAAGATCATAAATTACATCTTTAGACATTTATAGGCCAGCCACCCAAAGACAACTTGAAGTGCTAGGCAAGCAAATAGACATTCATACTTTGCCTGTTGTAGCGGACGAAGAATGAATTTGAGAAAACCGAATATCTTCCTACATTTTAAAGTGGTGGCAAGTTGCTTTCGTAACATGATCTTTGCACTTTCACCAAATAAATGTTGTTGTCTTAACCTTAAAATTGATTCTTTTTCATTACTACTGTATTACTGTTCTTGTCAAATGAATGAATAATCTTGGAAAAATTTATGGTTTCTTGGTACCATAAGCTTAATTCCAACAATAAAACAAGTTTAATAACATTAATATGTATGACAGTAAATGGTGATTGATCATTTAACCAGATTAGTCTTCTCTAACACATAATGAATATTGTTTGGCTTTTTAAAACCTGCCCTCCTCCCCTATTCCTATTTTTAGCCAGTCTTTATTCAATACCTTCAGTCAAAATTCATCCTTTGAAAGCGTATTTAAACTGATTCTTTGTTTTAGTTTTAAAATATTTTGTACGTAATTAATTCTTTCAGAATATTGAAGGAGGGACTTTGTTTTCATAAGGTAGATTATGGACAACAGTATTCTTTACTTAGAGAGTTTGCTATTTAGAGGTGAATATAATAAATGTCCTATTTAAAGGGTTTGGGGATTTTAAAAATGTCTGTTAAGTAGAGGTGTCCACTATTTGCGAGTGTCCATTAATAGAGGTTTCACTGTATATAAAATAACTTTGTAGAAATGCTTAATTTAATAAATAAATTATCATAATTTATACACATAATCTTTAAATTGTGTGAATCATTTTGATACTTCATAGATTTTAATATTAAATTCAAATTACAAAAAGAATTATATTACAATGAAATTCCATTAACTCGGCATTCAGTATATTGGCAAACTCAATAAGCCAGCATATTGAGTTCATCATGGGAGTTATCACTGCTGGAAACCCCATTGCATGCCGGTTAAACTGTGACTAAAAAATAAAAATTTACACAACCACTTGCAACTGGGTAAACTTGATAAAAAAGTTTACCCAGTTGCAATACCAAATAACCAGCTGAGAAAAGTGGGATGGAGCTAACATTTTTGCCCATGTTGAGTGGACATCATCAGGCTAAATGATTCCACAGCTGTTGAAATGATGGGGAATTGTGATGTGTGTATATGTTGAAATGATGGGGAATTGTAATATGTATGACAGTAAATGGTGATTGATCATTTAACCAGATTAGTCTTCTCTAACACATAATGAATATTAATGTGTTAATATTCATTATGTGTTATTCTCTAACACATAATTAATATTAATGTGTTAATATTCATTATTGTTCGGCTTTTTAATTACTTTTGTCATCACAAAGTAATACTATATTTTCTATACTTTAAATACTATATTTTCTATAAACAAACATAGTACAGTATAACCTCTGAATAGCAGACACTATTGAGACGGAGAAGTTTGTCTGCTATTTAGAGTTGTTTGTTATTTGAAGGTACATACTGACAGTCTTATTATATTTTAACCTGGTTATTATAAAGTTAAAGGGATAACCTTTAACTTTATAATAACCAGTATAATAACTTTATACTGTAAATAACCTTTAACTTTATAATAACCAGTAAAATATTTAAACCTGTTTTATATTTTATATGTTTTATTAGAGGGAAGGGAGAGGAGAGAAGATAGTAAGTTTACAATTCATAGAACAACTTCCATGTCAGGAGGAAGGAATCTACATTGTGGAAGTTAATGGCTGTATATTTGTTGGTGGTCTTATAAATTTCAACTTGCTCCAAATGTCTGAGATGTATAGACAGATTTGTACAGTTTTACATGC